CGCACTAAGGCTTGTTCATAGTATGTTATTATATTTAAAGATTGTCTTAAATAATTCTCAAATAAATTCTCAAATATTTTTAACCATAATATGATATGTATAACATCCGTACGAATCATTTTATTAGTTAAAATGTTTTTAAATATGTATTTAAGACACGATTTTAAATATAAGAATGTACTGTAAACAAGCCTTAACGCGAACTCAGTGCGCACTAGTGCAAGCTATGAGTCAAATATGAGAAGAATACTCGATTATGATTGGTCAATTTCTTACGGCTTAAAGCTTACTACATTTATTGTAAATCGGGACTTAGAATTTTGATATATATAATATATTTCATACGTTTCATATATTTCTATACGTATTATACGTTTCATACGTAAAAAACGTAAGAAACCATTCGCGGCGCCAAATTGCCCAACCCTGCGTGTCCGTAAAGGACGGATCGGATTAGCGGATGCAGAGGAACATTGCGTATATCTTCCACATATCATAAAGCTGTGGTGAAAGGGCCAATAGGACTAGGCCTGAAAACTATTGAGAGAGAGAGAGAGAGAGAGAGAGAGAGAAAGAGAGAGAGAGAGAGTGCGTACATACTTACGTCTCTTAAGAAATAAATAGAAAAGTAAATATGTGCATTGTTATTTTCATTATAATTAACGTATATTCTTTTGCAGATGTATATAGATAAATAAGGATTTATTTCTATTTTACTAATATGTGTGTATTAAAGAAATAAATACATCTTAACTTTAATGTGCTTCAGTCATTTGGTATGTATATATACATATCAAATTGACTCTGTTCAAACATTCCTTTCTCATTCATTTCCATAATTCCTTAACTCTGAAAATATTTTATATTTTAATAAACTTGTATGTTAATAACTGAAGCACATTTAAATTAAGATATATTTATTTCTTTAATATACACATATCAGTAAAATAGAAATAAATCTTTATTTATCTATATACATCTGCAACAGAATACACGTTAATTATAATGAAAATAACAATGCACATACTTACTTTTCTATTTACTTCTTAATATTTACTTCTTAAGAGACATAAGTATGTACGCAACGTTTCTCTGCATCCGCTAATCCGATCCGTCCCTCACGAACACGATTTGGTAATCCGATTAGCCTAGGGAACTTTCTATCTAAACACTTTACATCACTGCGATTATATCAATACGATTGGAAATCCGATTGCTACACGTAAACACCCATTGGCTTCAGGCTTTTCATGGAAATTTGCCCCAACGCCATTAACCTCGGTATAACTGTTTATATATTGTTGAGTGGTGTTGGGGGTACGCCTTTTGGTTGCCTGAAGCCATATTGAGAGAGAGAGAGAGAGAGAGAGAA